TGTTGTGGGAAAAAACAGAACTTATTCATCCATTTTGGTCAAATATCCCGGTATTCAGTGTGAGAACACAAAGCTAAGTTAATTTGAAATCACATAGCCTCCATTGGCAAATCTATATGGTCCAACAGCAAATGGAAGAACAACACAAAGTTACTAAAAGAATAGAGAATATAATACTGGCAAACACTCATTAGAGACGACTTTATAAAATAAATTTGTTTTATTTTGTTATTTTGACATTTTCTTGGGTTTTTTTAACGGTAACGTTATCCAGTTGAACTAGAAGAGATTATATCTATATAGATATGTATATAAATATACACGACTTACACGTATATATATATATATCTATATAAATCATTAAACAAACATATTTCTATAATGAAGACCCTGGAAATAAACTGGGGAACTTAAAATATTTTTGGTATACTAGCTTTTATTTTTATCTTACTTTTAATTTGAAAGGCTTTAAATAAACTTCTGGTCCTGACAGAGCAGGTCTGCAGGGGGTTTACCTGCTGCTGTCCTGTATCCAGACCCAGTGCTTTCACCAGGCCTGACGGGTCAATGTACTTTCTGTTGCTATTTTGCAGGAGGGCAAATAGGTACTGCAGGTGCTCACATATGGATTGTGGTTCATAATCTGAAAGACAAACAGTCAAATTATACATTTGACACGGATGCAATTCGAGTTATCACAATTTATATCTGGCTAAAATCAATTAATGGTCAATTATGTTTATTTATATAAGTAAGATGTTTTAGAGAACATGTAGCTTTGGAATTTACCAGAATCAACATTGTGTTCCTGTGCCCGGGAATTCTGACACTGATAGAGGCTACTACGAAGCTCCAGGTTATGGAACCACACTTGCAGGAATGTGTTGACATAACAAGTTGCACCAAGGTTGGTCAGGCCAACAAAAATGTTCTGGAAGGGAGCAAAGAGATAAACTAGTACAGAACAGAGTCCTAAAATAAGTCCATGGAGATTTAACTGACTTAATATTAACAAATGGTATGCAATTTAAAAAGTACCTTTTCTCTGCGTTCAGAATTTGGATCATCAATATTATGGAAAGTGTTTTCATCAATCTCTCCAAGCCACACCTGTTCCCCAATCCCAACCAGACAGTTGGGATTCCCTTTGCAATTCCTCCTATGAAGAAAAAAAAACATATATATATATATATTTTTTTTCTTTTTATCAGTGTCACTTTTGCTATGTTTCTCTAATATTAGCGAAAACATACATTTTGATAACAGTGAAATTCGATTCTTTTCAAGAATCAATTCTATTAATATCAGCAAACTGTGATTAAACTTTAAAAGTTTGTGGCTAAGTTCAAAAAATAGCAAAATACACAACAGATTGTGGAGGAAAAAGAGCCAACAGTGACAAAAAAACTAAAAGAATAATAATTTACTGATCAAGCAGAGCGGAATTTATCATCAGAAGAGGAAAACGCAACAGGAGCACGTTGAACAATAATATAAAGCTGTAAAGGTTTATAAACCTGTGACATAACCATCCATAAAGCAAAACAAAAGAATATTATACATGTTTAAAGTGTTTGACATCTTTATAAAGCTCTACAGAAGGATTTCTGAGCAAGTTAAAAATACACCAGGAACCAAAACTTTAACACAAGAACAAATGAAAGGATGTGGAATAAAGCACTGCTTTTTGTGCACACACACATATACATATATAT